CTCTTCCAGTGTTTTTTAAAAGTCCTTGATTCTACCTGCACTTCTTTTCTTGCTTTTATCATCACACATATTGGAAGAGTATGGCTTCAATTCTCTTACCTTCTGTTTACTCCCCTGCCCATTGTAATGTCTTTTGAAATTGCAACACATGGTTGAAACTGCTTTCTCAACATCTCCAATTATCTACTGATTTTAAACTCAGAGATTGAATTTTTGTCCTTATCCTATTAGATCCCCCTGAATTAATTGAGATGAATGCAAGCTTCTCTTCTCTGATATTCTTTTTTTTTTAATTTTATTTCTTTATTTGACATAGAGAGAGAGAGAGGAAGAGAGAGACAGAGAGATCACAAGTAGACAGAGAGGCAGGCAGAGAGAGGGGGGGAGCAGGCTCCCTGCTGGCAGAGAGCCTGATGTGGGCTCCATCCCAGGACCCTGAGACCATGACCTGAGCCAAAGGCAGCCGCTTCACCAACTGAGCCAATCAGGTACCCCAAGCATTACATTATTTTATGGTTTTGAAAATAGATGTCTCCTTGGTATCTCTTCTCTCCAACTTATTTCATATATTGCCATCATTTCCCTTCCCAAAAGTCATGGTCTGTCCACATCATTTTCTTACTTACAGATCTGCTTTCTTTTCTTATTGTTAATAAAATCAGACTAAAATATAAAAATTAAAAAAAAAACACTTTAATTCAAGCTTAGCATTGTCATCATCTGAATCAATCTCTTTTACCAGCCTTGATTTTTCCAAATATATCTCAAAATTTTTAGAACATTAATTTTTTCAGAACTTGAGCTTTACCTATCAATGTTATTTCTCTATCTATAAATAATAATTAGGCAATGGCTAAATGCCGGATTCTATGATGTGTATGGAGGATATATAATACATAAGATAAAAACGTCCCTTAGTATTTATAGAGATCAGTTCTAGGGCAGGAAAAAATAAAATAAATACATAAATAAGTAAGTAATTAAATAAAGTGTACTACATACTATGCTAGATGAAGTGTAAGCTTTTAATTGTGTACGGTAAGTTGTCTTACCTTGTGGCAGTAGTGATGATGGTATTTTGGGCAGGAGAGCTGGTTATAGAAGTAAGCACCATTTAAATTGTATCAATTAAAGATGGGGAAAATGGGTGAGTGTCTGATTCCAGGCAAGAGGAAATGGCCACACATAATATAACAATGAAAGATGTTCCATATAGTGTGATTGCACAGGATATGAAGGGGAGAATGCTGACTTTGCTGAAGCTTGTCAGGTAAGAAAACACTAGATAATGAAGGTATTATCAACCACCACGAGTATCTTGGACCTTATACAACAAACAATTGGAAGTCCATTTTTAAGCACTGGTGTGATAGAATCATATTTGTATTGGGAAGAATCATTGTGGTGCCATGTGAAGGATAAAATAGAGAGAAAAGACCAGAGGAAGTAAGAGTGCTCAGGAACTATTGCAGAAATTCTTGGGAACAGCCACATTGGCCTTACTGGAGTCTTTGTTACATGAACAGAGAAAGGCGGATTGGTATAGAAAACAGAAACAAGGAATAAAAGTCAGGATTTGGTGAATTGGTTTATTATTGGTGGTATATGATTAAGTAGAATAGATGATTGTCAGTGGGCAGGGGTTATGTAAGTCTGGAACTCAGGAAAGGGATCTGTGCTTGCCATGTAGATTTATAATTCATTAGCATATAGGGTTACCTAACTATGGAAGTCAAAGGGATTGACTTTCAAGAGTGATTGAAAGAAGAGGGCAATGGTGGTTCTAGGAAGGTCAGAGAAGCTGTTTCAATAAAGAAGGATTCTAATAGAGTCCAATATAGCCAAGAGGAGAAATAAGGATTGTTTTAGGGTTGGTGGGGGGGAGCATGGAGTGTCAAGGATATCATTAGTGGAAGCCCTTTCAGTAGAGAGCTGAGATAGAGGCTTTGTTCACTAATATGCCTTCACACCCATCTCCTGCATGGGATAGTAGGCAACAGTCCTGGCTGTGTACTTCGCGGTGGTTGTGGGAAGGGACAGGACTATAGGCCATACAAACTACTTCTCTTTTTGATCATAAGTACAAGTCAGTTTTGACATTTCCATCTTTTGAAATCCCAAGGAGCCTATGAATGATGGTGACAGCAAAACTTCTTTTAAAGTCTGATTATCTTAGGCTCTCTGCCATAGCTGGTTGTTCCAGGCCCTACCCTCTTTTAAGGTCAGAACTACCCTTCATCTCCTCTTTGTTGAAATCCCATTTATTTTCAAGAAATAGATCAAATATCACTTTCCCCTAAAGAGATCCTTGCTTCACAAGAGAATTATTGCTCTTCTTCTGTGTTCTTACAGGATTTTGTATATAAATTCATTAAGTGTTTAAAACATTCTCCTTCATAATATAGTTATATATGTAAGTTTCCTTTCCCATCTTGGGATACTGTCTTATTTATCTTTGCATCCCAGATTTCACCTAGTAAATTGAGGTATTTAATCCTTGTTTATCAAATTAAATTGAAATGTTTATATAGCATGGTTTGTCTAATTATAATAAATTATTTTAAAAGTCCAGATTCAGGAGAACTACATTTTTGTGGAGAAAAAAATAAATACAAGACAGTTGAAATCACTTTTGCTCCTTTCTCATACTATGATGGCTACTACCTTCAAGTGTAGTTCTAAATCAGGTGGAGATCTACTCTTTGTGTCCGAGTATGCCTTAGCTAATATTTTCCTGCATACAGAAGGAAGAGACTCAGTAAGTAATATTTTGTGACCATAGTTTATGAACAGCATTCTGAAAAGTGCACAGTAAGCTTGGATCTGTCTCTAAACTGAATTTGCTTTGGATGGGAAGCTTACATCATATGATAAAGACAAGACTTACTCCTAGAAGTGATGGTCTAATTTATAATCTCCACCTTCAAGAACGTGTTGGAGTTGAATTGCGCGCCAAAGAAAAGAAATTCTAAGCTAGTTTAAATGAAGTTTATGTTTCCTGCCAATATTCTCCCTTTAAAAATTTAGTCTTATTTACACGGTTTCAGACCTAGAAAAGTTCAGTTTAGTACTTTGGGTCAATTATTGTCAATACAATGTTGGATTTGTGTCATGGTTTCTTGGCAATAGGGCAACATTTGAAATCAAGTATCAAATGCATTCTCAGTGTGTGCAAATATAAAATCTGAACATCAACTAAAAATTTATGTAACTTCACAATGTAGTCACTAGCCTTAAAGAAGTTATGAATTGGTGGATTTTTTTTCCTTTCTATCCAAAATATTGCCCTTCTGTGAGCAAAATGATATGTGGCATTAGACTTGATGAAAATAAGTAGTATTGGAAAGTGCTTAGAATTCTTGAAATGTGCCAATGCTTTAATTGCTATTTGACCCCATTTCTCTTCCCACCAGACAGAGCGTAGAGCAAATGATATGATGGATGTCCAGTGCAGATTCATAATTCACCATAGTTGGGAACACTTATAATGGTGTATTTTCAAACTCTGTGAAAATGCCCAAGCAGATCAACATCTCATTCAAAACCGTCAGTGCCGATAAAATGGACGGTTTTCTTCAGTATATTCAGTGAAGCAGAGTAAAGGCCAGGCTCCAATTATTTCTTATGGTGCTGGAGGTGGGGTTTGTTCATAAATGCAAATGGGGACATGAATCAAATGTGTGTCTTCTCTTATAAATAGAGAAAGAGAGAGAGAGAGAGAGACTGTGTGTGTATTAGAGAGAGAAAGAGGGAGAAAAGGAAATGATTCTAGAGAAAAACTTACATTTGTGTATTAAAAATGGCTCAAGTTTCCTCAGATGTTACACAAGAAAGAGAGTGTCATTGAAAAACCAAATACCTGTTTATGCTAGGGTTTTGATAACATATCATAATGAAAGAGTTTCCTGTCATCAATGCTCTAATTAGAATACTAAGCAAAAGTCTAATAAAGTGGATTCATTTCTTCAAACTAACAATGAAACTTTGCTTATATTTGTTGACCATAGAAACTGGCCATAGATATTTTAGGCATTTTTAAAAACAGTTCATTGAAAGTTTTCCATGAATAAATGATTTTTTTCTCCCTGTGTCTACATTCACTACCAAAATATTTGGGACTGGACACCTGGGGCATTTGCTTCCTTCTTGGGCTCAGGCATCCTTCTCATTTCACATACTGTTGACCCAATCAATTCCATCTGTTATAGTTAGAACCCACATACAGCCAAATTCAAAGAGAACAAAGTTGGCAATGGTGTCCATTTCACTTCCTGCTTCATCCACCCACTGGGTGGGGCCCCTCTAAAGCTCCCAGCTTTCAAGGAGGGAGGCATTCTTGATCTTCCTCTGCCACCTCTCACTAAAGATTCAGGTCGGTTTCAGTCAGTTAGGGCTCATTGTGAATTTTATCTTACTGGTACTTTTCCCATGTCTTTGTATTTTATTCAGGCTTTGACGGGGGCTGGAATGGCTCTGTTTCCCATTATAGGATTTCCAGGCATTGACTCACATTCCAGGGGCTTTCAGAGCAACGTGACCGAGGACCACCACAAATCTTTCATTCCCCCCACCTCTCTCTTTCTCTCTCCATATATATATATATATATATATATATATATATATATTCTTCTAAGCTCTTTCTTATATATTCTTCTAAGCTTTTCTTGGAAAAACCCTCTCCTTCCATTTTATTTGTTCCCATTACTCACACCTAGCTGCATTCTATGTGACAAAAGAAACCATGAGCTCCAATGTGAACCTAATTCCAGGGTCTTTTCTCCTGTTTTGTTTTTTTGTTTGCTTGTTTTGTTTTTTGTTTTTTTTTTTAAATATGTGCACACAATTTTTATGAGCTTCACCTCTGTTACTATTGGGCACACGATTCTGCTGAGGCCACAGTTATTTTGCAAGTCAGCGAGGACTTCTCCAGCTTGGGTTGGAGTTACATTGGTAACTTTGCTCTAAATTCCCTCTTTAATGGAAAAAAATATGGACGGAAGGCTGAGGGGCATAAATCTTGCAAGTTGCTTTTCCGAGACCAGCCAGAACTAGCCCTAAATGAAGACACTGTGCGCTCGCTGCTGGCGGCTGTAGTCTTCTCATTTGGATTTCAACAAGTAGTCCCAGCCAGAGAAGCATTAGAAGGTAAAAGGGGATCAACCAGTTGTTAATCCAGTGGTGACTTCGGTGTGGGGCTCATTTCTTCAAACGGCCAAGTTGCACGCGTTGTTCTGTGATTGAGTGCCTTTGTCCTGACAGAGCTTTTCATTTTGTACCTTTCACCATTGTTTTTGGCCGCAGATCAAGCCTCACATCTTCTGGTCATAGAATTCCTTTCTGCAGGCTCCACTGCAGGCTCAGGCCGCCGCGTAACCTGAGACGCCTCGATTTCCCAGCAGACAGCACATTAAAGGGAGGTCTGCCGGCCAGCTGCAGAGACAGGTGTTGTTCTCGCTTCATTTATACCCGCCCCCATTTATTTGTGCTAAGAATTCCTCTCCCAGGCTTCACAAACGCTGAAGGAATCGGGCAGATTTTATAGGCGCTAGAGTGTGGGATTAAAATGCTTCACCTGCTTGGTAGCTTAGCTGGGTGAACAATGCTTCCAGATGTAGCATGATCTTTCTGCTGTTTTTGCTCTGCCCTCGTTAAGGAGCGAGAGGGGCTGCGTGGCCGCTCCGCGGTCCACCGCACGATGTGTTTACCGACTCGGATTCCGTCGCTGCTCTTTGGAGAGGGCTGACTCATGCTGCTTTCTGAGAAACTGGAGAAGTCAAGAAAACCCTCAGATTATTGTCCTTTTCTCATCCATATTGCAGAGCCATGAAAACCTGAACTGGTTTTGTCCTATCAGATTTAATGTTGATAGGGCAAATCCAGATCGATTTTTATAGCACTTTTATAGAAATGAAAAAGGTCAAATATAATGTTTACTACAGACTCTGCTGTTGCTTGAAATATATCTTTGGAGAGTGTGATTTTCATTGGACAATGAGCTTATAGACTGAGCGAGGTGCCCACGTGTGGCTTGAATGGTATGGATCCGGGTGATCCATTATTAGGTCTTCATATATTAGGAACTAAGCTGCAGGCATTTATTTCCCTTCCTAATCTTAAGTTTAGCTGTGAAAATCCCTCTTTGAGTGGCCTCAGCATTCTATCACAAGCCACACCCTTGTTCAACCCTCTGGGTCTCCTCCAGTGGGCTTGAGTCATCTGCTGCTTCTCTCCTTTGCAGGATTCTAAGGAAAGGATTATTTTCCATGATTAGACTAAGGGCTGTTTAACACCAATTACTATTCCCCATCATTAACAGAAGAGAATTCTGTTTGTGACTTAGGTAAGTTGGAGTAAGTATATTTCATGCAGCAGTGAAACCATGAGACTAACAAGATGATTGTGACTTACGATACTTCCTTCCTGACACTCAGAATTATCTCTTTCATCATATTTGGATGGGACATGGGCCACCTAGGAGAGCATATCCTGTTCCTGTCTTCCGAAACCCCTGGAAGCTGGTGCTTAAGGAAAGTGGCACATTCTTCCTTTAAATGCTGTCATCCTCCTTGGACTCTGCCTTGCTTCCTTTGTGCAGGAAATCAGATAACCCAGGATGGTAGCAAGACTTTGGAAGTGGCCTATCACCACCCTGTCACTTGTGGCCTTTGGAAAACACTATGTCTTTACTATGCTTGGAAAACCCATGCCACCACAATATGCCCTGCATTCCAACCACAAACATTACTAGGCACACTCTGTGCACATGGAGCTCTTGTAGGCCTTGATGTCTTTGCCAGGACATTTCTTCTGTCCATGCTGCTTCGTCAGGACCTCTTTTCTCCCTTTTTACCAGGTGAATTCCTACTTTCCTCGTAGCCCCACATCAAGCCTCCCAACATTTCCTAAGCAGTGCTAGACACTTCCTTCTCTCTTGGTCTGTTTCCCACATCTCATTTTGTCATGCATTACATGATTTTTGCTCTGATCGTTGTTTGCTTTGGATCATTTATTTTATGTGTCTCACGAGATCACACATTCCATGAGAATCAGGATGGTGTCCTATTTATTCATCTTTGTGAACGTAGGTCGTTCTTCACTCTTCCTCCTCGACCTGGCTTCTGCGAGGCTGCCTGGCCGAGTCCCAGACACACAGTAGGTGCTCCATATTGGTTAAATTTATGCATGAAGACATGAGTGGATAAAGCCATACCTATAATCCATCTGGAAAGCTTTGGGAGGACCAAGACAGTCTCTAAATCTGGAAAGGGGACAGTGAATTCAGGGCCTAGAGAAGGGAGGCTCCTAACTCCAGCTGCCTGTTTTCTGGGACTTTGCACCAACTGACTAAAATGGACTATTGTTACCCTTTACCCCTCATCTTCTTTTCCATATATTTATTGCTACTGTGTTCAGGAAGGGCACGTGATAAGTGGGACAATGTAGGAAATTCATAGCGTAGCATCCTGCCTCCCCCCAAAACTGTTGACCATGATCCATTTTATCCTGAAACTCACATTTACATGTAAAATATTTACCGGTGCTTCAAAATAAATTGGGGATTAATATATTGGTGCACTGTAGATAAATATCAAGGAACACGGTGTTTTCGTCTTGTGTAGAGAATAGTTATTTTTGATCCCATGGTGTTCATGGGCTGGTTTGTTTTTTCTTTCTTCTCCTTCTGCTCCTCTCACAGAGCTATAGGCAAACTGTTCCAGCAACTTTCAAAAATACTCAAAATAATCATAGAGAAAAGTGTGCTATGAAATCCCAGTTTTACAGGGAAGAAAGAGAGGCTCAGAGGTCAATAACTAACCAAAAGGACACAGAGCTAGTCGGTGACAGAGTTGGAATTCAAGCCCATTCACACCGGGTCTAGAGTCGGGGCTGTCAACGGCCATGAATGGCTGCCTCTTGTCCAGAAGTGGACTCCACACTGTATGGAGGACAAATTATTTATAGGAAAGAAACTGAGCAGATCATTTAAAGGATCCCTTGCAAATGCTCCATAAAGGGATAAAAAGGAGAGAAAATTAATCATCTCACACACCCTGGGAAACTTGTACATGTTCATGCAATTTGTACCTCGAACTAAAGTAACTGAATATTTCCTGTAGTAAGTAACTAGTTCTGTAACTTGGAAAAAATCTCTGACTCCACTTAACTCCTGCAGAGGGCCATGGCATATGGCCTAAATGCCCTAGAGTTTAAGTCAAGATACACTTACATAGTAAAACTATTCTTTTGTTGTTTTACTCTTTCCTTCCTGCTTGGAAAACTTTTCAAGTTTAAAGCCATCTAAAAATTGTAATTTTTTTTTTTCCCCTAGAAAGCAGAGGTCACAGAGATAAATGTCAACTGTCAGAAGTGCCACAGATGAAGGTGATATTCTTTTCTAATGGTTTCTGAGAAAAGAGACCATCAGAGTGAAATCCAGTAATCCCTCATTTGTGATTCCATGCCTACTGAGACGCTCAAACTCGAGTGCAGACTTTGGTAAAGTACTGAGCGCTGAAAGGTAGTTCTGTCTCCTGAGGAATCTGGAATGAGATCTAGTAGGAAGTTTCATTCAAGTTGAATGGAAAACATAAAAGAGAGTGTTCTATGGAACTCAGAAGTCTGGCAATGATGGATTTACTCCATGTGTGAAAGACCGGAGTAAGTGTTCTTCCCACGTTTGATTTATTAATTGGTTTATTAAGAAAGTCCTACAAGTTAATATTTCACTACTCGCTTGAATATAGTAATAAAATCCTAAGTAGAGAGTCCACAAATCAAATAGAAATGGACACTCCAGTACCTATCAAATGATGTTTTCACATTTATCTATATATTTACCTATAATCGAATAATTTCCTAAGAAATAGTAGTGTGCCTAATTTGAGTAGAATGTTGCATTTTAGCTTTATTTTTAAATTTAGGTAGTTCTAAAGACAATCCTGGGTTAATTTATGGGGAAATTATTATTATTCTCCTTCTTGGAATATGCCTGTCTATATCTATAAAGTGAAATGCACCCATTTCTGAAAAGATTCCTTTAATAATGTTCTCTCGTTTTATGAGATTCCATGGCATCATAGCATGACTGAATAAATTATCCTCTGGACATAACCTAATTTCCCATAGTCCTAATTCTGAAAGATTTCTCAGATTTTCTTTTCCAGTGGGAGAAATATTATAAGATTATCAAATTCATTATTTTGATGATGAACAAAATTATACCTGAACTGTCTTAAAAGTGCTTCTTTTCATTTAAAAAAAAAAAAAAAAAAAAGCTATAGCGAATGAAAGGCCTCTATTATATAATGCCCTGGAGTGGATCCCTCTTCTTTTAACTCAGATTTTCAGGAAGCTTGGATTCCTCCAATTCCATTTTAATGCCCCCCCTCCCCGCCATTCTGTTTCAGTGGCAGTGAGGAACAGCTGGCCGGCATCTTCTGTGATAATAACCTTCATATAGTGGAAACGTGAACGGTTTTGGACATGGTACTCACAAAAACATCCCCCCGCGTGATGTAGCTTATTTGGTATTTCCCCCTGTAAATAGCTAGATTCCTTATAGCCAGCCCTTCCAGCGACTATCAAATTTTGGCTCTGTTGAGTATAATGCAAGCATTTTCTGCCCCGTCTATTCAGGAATGTCTTCTGAGGAGGTTTCACAATACAATTTATTGTGTTTAATTTATGACAGACAATGTAAGAAGAATGGAATGCTTTTCTGTTAGGATTTGCATTGATAATTAAAGGTTACCATAGTGCTGGTTCGCTTTTACCAAATTTGCCAAATTCTGAAGGGAATGCCAATTAGAAGGCAGTCATGTTTCTCACTGCAACAGATTGAGACCAGTACCTGGTGGTGAGGACCCGTCGCTTTTGGCTGGACCTTACTTCTAATTGGGAAAGAAGGCAAAAGCTAGATCAAATAGTGTTTCTGAAGTGGTATCAATCATTCCAAGTAATAGCCACACCCCAAGAAGGCTGAGGAAGTGATTCAGTCTTTCTGAGGTCATCTTTTCTGGGTATGGAGGTAGCCAAAATTCTGAAAACGTTCACATTTTGCTCTCTTTAGGAAAAAACAACATTGATTTTAGAGGCTTTTGTTACAAAGGCCAGGGGGATTTTCCCACTGCAGCAAAGAGGAAGCTGGGTTTGGACCGGGAAGCCAGACATTTCTTGGCCCGAGTTTCTCACTTGAATGGGATTCTAGTTTGCCCCCTCCTCACCTCGCCAACCCCCAAGCAGCTAGAAGCCCCACCTCCTCCCTTGGACCATATGGGGAAGCTGGCTCAGTGGTTCTTATCCTTCTGACTCCAAGTTCACGCAGCTGTTCATTCCCTGCTTAATGTACCGGTAATTACAGCAATGTGCGCTTCTCTTTTTCCAATCATGTAACTTTTTTCTAATGGAAAATGATTTGTTTTTAACAACTTCCATGCATTTTGTTCTTTAATAAGAAAGGGTGTCTCGTGGTACTGAGGGATTGAATTCTCTATAAAAAGCAAAAGTCTCTATATCAGTTTCCAGCTCCATAGGAGGGCTCCATGGGACTAGCCAAAATTGGGGGGGGGCGGGGCTTAAGTGGGTGTGACTAACTGGATATGAATAGGTCAGTTGGGAAACAAAGCAGGCTCCTCGCCTTTTGCATATGGAGGTGGTGAAAGAACATTTTTTAAAAATATGAAACTGGGAAAAATCAAAAGTACAAATTGAGCTCCTCTTTCATGATCCAAATTCATTGTGCTCTCAAAGGATTTTTTAAAACAAATATCCGAGGAGCTTTTCACTTATCTGAGTTCTATCTTTTGGAGCATGCAAAGTTTCTGCTTTGATGGTTGGGTCTGGGTGGAGGACTGAAATGACAGCAAGGGATGCATCTTTCCCTTCAGCCATGCCAAGCTCTGGGGCACAGATCAAAAGTGTGTTTGTTCACATTATCATTTCCTTTGTGGATAAAATACATCACCCTTGGAATCTCTGCCCTAGCATCTCCCTAAATGGCACCGGGAATCATTACAACAGGATCATTTCTGAAGCAAAACTTTTCCAACTCATTAGAATACTTCGTTTTGGAGCTTTTATTTAAAAAATATACTAGTTAAGCAACTGTTGTAGTAAAGAAAAACAAATCAGATCCCTGTTTGTAGAAGGAACTGTTGGTTCTATGCAACATGTAGAGCTATTTGATCAGAAAGATGATAGCACAGCGAATGCTTCTTTTATATGAAAATTCAAAATTCAAGGAAGTTGAGAGCGTGATAGACTATACGTGCAAACTGAATACGCCTCATTTGACATTTTAGGGATTCACAGAATTTATGATTTAGCTGAAGCTATAAAACAGATATTTGGAGCCCCAAATCCTTTGGTGCTAAATGTATCCATATCTTCAAGGGGCATTAATTTTATTGCTTACATATTCCCTTTACACTAATAATGGTGAGTAACGACATGATTTGCCAGAAACCACCTATCTCTTACCTAGCTCCCTCTCCAGAAATCTCTTGGTTTTTCTTACAAGTTCCTTCAGAATTTTTATGACACCAAACTGAGGAAATTTAAAATACTCATTTTGGAATTTAGAACTAAATGACTTCTAAATTTATCTATCTATTTATTTACTTATATTTTATTTATTTATTTGACAGAAAGAGAAATAGCGAGAGAGGGAACACTAGCAGGGGGAAGTGGGAGAGGCAGGCTTCCTGCCAAGCAGGGAGCCAGATGAGGGGCTCTATCCCGGGATGCTGGAATCATGGCCTGAGCCAAAGTCAGACACTTAAAGGCTGAGCCACCCAGTGCCCCAGACTTCTAAACGTATAATAAAGTTGGCAAAACAGTTGCTTTCCTTAATAACCCTCAGTGGCACAGCAGCAGCGAAGATACGCTTTTGTTCCTCCAAAATCTTTAGTTAGAAGCTACAAGTGTGTCGCCAACTGCAGCGAGGGGATCTGGGCTTCCTTGTCATGAATCCAGCTCATGAGTTTTCATCTGATTTCACTATCTAGGAAGTTTTTTCCAGCTCTGTGAAAAGTAAAAATTCTGCTTAATATATTTCAGCAAGGTTTGAGAATTGGAATCTTCAGAATTAGTAGCAAGACTAATCCAGGTGTCTATCTTACCTCATATTCTATTTCTTCAGAGGATTGCATCTGTAGCTTTGAGAAGATTTTATTTGTAAAGCTTTAAGTTATTTTGATATACATTAGACCATCAAAACTTTAGGTAGGATCTGATGAATGTCAAAATAAGTAATTATATAATAAATAATTGTCCTCATTCCTACTTATTCAGCCAACAAATATATTTATTTTTTAATTTTTCCCCTCTTTATTGAGGAATAACTGAAAAATTTATATGTATTTAAAATGTACAATGTGATGATTTGGTGTATATTCTGAAGGATTACCGCAACCAAGTTCATTAACACATCCATCACCTCATAGTCACATTTTATTATGTGTGTGGTAAGAATGCTTAATTAAGATCTACTCTTTTATCACTTTTTAAATATGCAATACAGTATTATTAACTATAGTCACCATGCTGTGTATTGGATTCCCAGGACTTGGTTTTATAACTGAAACTTTGTATCCTTTGCCTGCCATCTCCCCAATTCCTCTACCCCAAGACCCTGGCATTTTACTCTCTGTTTCTATGAGTTCAATTTTTTTTTTCTTTTTTTAGATTCCACATCTAAATGATACCATGCAGTATTTGTCTTTCTCTGTTGGCTTATTTCACTTAATGTAATGCCCTCTTGCTTCACTCATGATGTTGCAAATAATAGGATTTCCTTGTTTTTTTCTTCTTAAACTGAATAATATTACATTATATATGTACCACATCTTCTTTATTTATCTGGTGGCAAACACTTAGGTTATTTCCATACATTGGTATTATGAATAATGCTGCAATAAACATGGAAGTACAGATATTTCTTCCGGATAATGATTTTTTTTTTCCCCGTTGGGTACATGCCCAGAAGTGGGATTGTTGGTTGATAGGGTAGTTCTACTTTTAATTTCATAAGGAACTTCCATACTGTTCCATAGTGGCTGTACCAATTTACATTTTCGCCAGTGGGCACAAGGGTTCCCTTTCGTTATCTCTTTTTGATAATAGACATCCTAACAGAGGTGAGGTAATATCTCGTGGTTTTTATTTGCAGTTCCCTGATGGTAAGTGATGATGAGCACCTCTTCATGTAATTTTCGGCCATTTCTTTGTCTTCTTTGGAAAAATGTCTATTCAGATCTTTTGCTCATTTTTTAAAAATATTTATTTATTTATTTATTTATTTATTTATTTGAAGGGGGAACACAGAGGGAAAGAGTCTCAAGCAGACTTCCTGTTAAGTGGAGATCAGTGACTTGAGCCAACACCAAGATTCAGATGCTTA